ATTACCAGTCTCATCAAGGGGGATACTACATCCAGCTGCCCAGCCACTCAACCAGGCCTAGCCAAGTTGACACACAAACATAACCATCACAGCCAGACTCAGTGTCCCTCTTCCCAGGGTCATCTTGTTTCATAGGTTATGGTTCTTAGCCAAAACCAATCATGGGAAAGGGTTATGCTTCAAATACATAATTGAAAATAACAAATCAAAAGAACTCACTGTCGATAAAGAGGTTGGCTATTCTATTTACTTAAAAGAAAGAAAAAGGGAGGGACAAATAGGAAGTTAGTCACCATGATGAACGTCTACTTGAATCATGGCACCTAGTATGTTAAAGTTCTGTAATTTTCAGTGAAGGGCCAGTTCAGTCTTGAACTTAGCCTTCCACGCAGAGACATCACATATGCACAACATCAGCCTTTGTGATGAGTTCCATTTTGTTACAACAGCCTTTGTGGTGGAATCCATCTTGGCTATCTCCTACTTGTGCACCTGATTTTCATAACCCTATCTTTTTCCCAGAAATCCCCGCCTATTTCTTATTCCTGCCTAAAATCCTTATAAACCCTAGGAAATCCTTTGTTCAGTGAGAAATCAGAGGCTTGCATAGGCGAAAGCCTCTTCTCCCTCACAAGCCTCCTCCCTTCTCCTCTCTTGAATAAACTTTGGTTCATATGGACATTTTGCCTCTCCTGTTCAATTCTTTCTCAGAAAGAGGCAAAGACTCCTGCTCAGGGTCCTGAGTAACCCTGGTAACAATCCTCTTTTTAAGACGTATGTACAATATATGGGACCAAACTGACAGCAGCAGACTGAAATATTAGGTAGGAATTTTAAGGGGCAATGAAATGAGTTATGTTAACAAGGGAGGGATATCTCAGAAAAGGAGGGTGAGAATGATTGCACAACAGAAAATGCAATCAATATTATTAAATTGTACGTGTAGAAATTATTGATTTATCTTTTGCTGTTTCTATTCTCAAAAACAACAAATAAAATTGAAAGAAAAAAATTTAAAAAGGGAATAGAGTTGGAGGGCAAACACTACCTGATCAAAGACTTACTGTAAAGCCATAGTGATCAAGACAAGCTATAGTGACCAAGTGCAGTGCAATGAATTACTTAATATGGCCCTTCTAGCCATAGTCTTCCATTTTG